TTGGGGAGGGGTGAGGCTGAGGAGAAAGGAAGAGGAGAGCAGGGGGAGGGAAAGTAAGAGAATCGGCGGGCCTGGCGCAGTGAGAAGTAACATTGTTACGTAGGTAGGTAAACGTCATCTTGCAGTAGTTCGAGGATTATATATATTTTATGCTGGCACGCATGGTACTGAGGTTTTTATTACCACCCCGCGTCTACCACAGCCTATTTGGAATGATTACTTCTTGGTTGGTCCTCCGTTCTTCCCTTTCTATTTCGACTCCTCTTGGTGGGAATCCATTCCATCTGCGATTCGTTCAGTTGTTTCGCTTGTAAATTATAGCATGTTCCAGGATGACAAACCTGCTATTAGCTTGCTAATAGGTAACTCCAAAAGAGGGAGAAATCGCTGGGTGCTTTTTCATTGGGTGTTTATCACTGTTATCATTTATTACCATTCGGGGACTTCTCGAGTTCCTCCGTCTTTCACAGACATTGAGTACGGAGAGGATCTGATTTTTGATTTTTTAGAGGAGCGTGCAGAGAGGATAGCTGAAGTAGTTTATAATGATTTTTGTTCTGTACCCTGAATGTTGCAGTTCCTGCCTCTTTTTTGCATTGTAATTTTCCTCATTTCAGAACGCGAGCGTGAGCGAGAAAGAGAGCGAAAAGAACGTGAAAAAGAAGCGGAAAAAGAGCGTGAGCGTCGTAGAAGCAAAAGTCGTGAAAGAGAAGGTAAGGATTTTAAAAATTTTTCATTTTTTAGAGGCAAAAATGTAAGTCTTAAAAGTGGAACGTTGCTGGGAGTGCCACATCCTGAAATTTTCAAATGAACGATTTAATTGTGATCTGTTTGCGGCGCTGATCTAAGACGTAGATAGCTTGATCGGTTGAAAAGTTTTAATCTCAACCAATTTATTATTTTTTTTTTTATATATTGGGGGTTTCATTCTTTAATATTACTATTATTTCTCACTGTTAGCTAATACTCGTTTTTTGAATAGCGTTTATGATTTTGCTTGAAACTAGCAAGTGAGTTAGCATTTAATATAAAAAATTTTAATTATTTAATGGAAAGGATATTGTATATTTTCCAGTTATCGATATTGTCGTATAATATATTAATTATCGTATCGTTTAATATTTTTAATCATCGTATAATTGTGTTATTTTTTACTATTTCTAAGGAATGCTATGATGTGTCTGTGGTAGTTTCTACTTAGTTACGGTATTACCAAATCATGGACCATTAATATCGCTATCTGACAGTCAAAAGAAAAAAAAGGAAATTTACCAACCATAATTATTAAAATTGTATGCATTATTGTTGCCTTATAAATTTTTCTAGGTCGCGAAAAGCGTAGCCGAAGTCGAGAGCGACGAAGCCGAAGTCGCGAAAAACGCAGTCGCAGTCGTGAAAGACGGCAAGATCCGGAGAAAACAGAACGCAGTGGTGAAACGAGTGATAGTAAAGAAACAGAAAAGGATTTGGAGAAACTGAATGAAGCCATCCGTCAACGCTATCTCGGTAAATTACATGTTCTGGGAAAAGCTAGAAGTTGTGTGATATGAAAAATATGGTGGTAAAATACAGAAAGCTGCAAGCATGGCTAAATAAGGAGGATGTTGAAATAGTTGCAGTTTTGCAGATTTTACAGTTTTTGCGAATTTTGCATTATGAGCAGATATTCCCGTGTTTCGTTCAAATAGCTATGTGGTTGTGATAATCACTTTTTGAAGCTCTCCTTTGCATGTTTTCATTGAGCATTCTTCCAACTC